CAAGTCTGACTGAGCAGACTCATTATCATTCCTTCCATGTCTTTCCTCAGAGCAACCTCCTTCACCTCCTGTACGGTACAAAACAAGAGCTGCAGGGTGTTGGGATTAGGAAAGGGAAGGACCGAAACAGCCTAACTTCACGCAAACTTGCTGCATTGTTATAAACCAGCTCCTTAAAACTAAATTTTGTTTCAGGGGCCTTTTCCCCCAGTCAAACATAACGTCACTTAATATGGTGTCACAAATATTGATTTTTCCCTTCCTGTTTAGTGATGGATAAAGACTGAGATAATGCTAAAACCTTCTGTGATGGATTGCTTTGCTTTTTACAGAGTTCAGAGTGGGAGAGGTTCTGTTAGGAAGCAGAACAGTGCGGGAAGACAAGACATGGTAGGAGGCCACACCTTGTGTGGAGCTTTGTTTCTCTACAGCTGGGATTTCCTGGCACTACTTGCAGAGGGCTGAGAGGAGGCATGGGAGGGTGGCTGAAGGGGGGACTGCTGGCCAGGCTGATTATGAAGTTCTCCCCTGAACATCAAGGGGTGCTGCTCAGCCCTTCTAGAGAGGGGACTGCGGCAGGCTGAAAGTTTGAAGGGAGGAGCTCAGCTGGGCCCTCCCTTTTCACCCCCACCGCTGAGGCATGGAGGTGCCATCATGGCAAAGCCGGGTGCCCGCCGCGAAGAAAAGGCGCCAGCACAGGGTTAAGCACGCTCGCTTTCCCTTCAGCGCCCCCGGGCGACTCCGGTTGTTTTCCTTTCCTCCGCTGGGACGGAGCCTTGCGCAGATATTGTGACTCTTGCTTCAAGATGCAGCCAGCCCTGGTGCTCACCGGCACCTGTCTGCCTCGGGCTGGGCGTGCAACCTTGTCACTGGAGCAGGGAGGGGGGATGGAGACTGAGCAAACGGGGGGTGGGGGGTGGCTGACAAACGTGAGGGAAAAGGCAACCCAGCCGCCCCCCTCCCCCCCCACCTCAGGGCACAGCAAGGCTAAGCGAGAACCAGTTGAGCCTCATCCCCGGCTCTGGTGCGGGTTCGTGCCGGCGCCAGCGCTGGGCAGGGATCTTTTCGGAAAGAAAAGGGGCTGGGGGGGACCCCAG